TTTGGAAAGCAGAGAGATTAATTGGTGAGATCTGGAATCCTGGCAAAAGATAGTGGGTGATAGGAATGGAAAGTAGAGAACAATAGTAAGATTTTTAGGAATTTTAAAAGGTAGAATCAATAGAATTTCCTGATGAAAGGGATGTAGGACATTACAGAAGTACCAGGGAAAACTTGAATGATTTTGGCCTGAGCATCTGGGAGAATGGCATTGTAATTACCTGATTTTTAGACTCTTAGAGAACAAGCGTATTTCTTTTGGTGGGGGGTATAGAATCTCAAATTTGGACATGATAAGCTTGTTATTATTCTGATTGTATTCTTCCTTGGGCTTGGAATTCTATTAAGGACTGCTATAGTTGAAGTAAAATGTTCCAACTGCAATTGTCTGTTTCTCTTTGTATTTCCCACAATCTTTATTACATACATTTCAGCTCAGTTATTGAGCAGGTAAGTCTTCATATGCAAAGTACTTGGTCATATGTTTATTGATCCTATTAAATATTTTTACTTTGCAGTCTGTTTAATATTATTATTATCTCTACTTTTATTTTGGTTGATTATTGTTTCTTATGTTTTTTATCTTTTTATTGAAACTTTCTTAGAAAACTGAAAGTGGCTTAGAAAAACATGATTTTTTTAAACTTATTGTTATTTTCCCTTAATAAACGGATGTAACATATTTACATTTATTAGCAACAAACATACCTGATACTTCTAAGGGTGGTAGACATTCTCATATGTTTTAGCAAGGACTCAATATCCTTTTTATACTCCTCCTTTCTTTTAAACACAACAGATCACCAAATAGAAAATGAATTCTGATTTATTATCTTTTTTCCTTTAAACTATTCATTTATTACTCTTTCGCTTATGGATATGAATAGAAATTTGAGGGCATTCTGCTGCCTTTAGTCTAATACTTTTTCTTTACAGATAACCTGCTTTATTTCATCTTCATGCTTATAAAGTGTCTTTAAACTTTGAAATTCAGGAGTTGTCTCTGTGTTGATTACCTTAAAAAAAATTTTTTTGAAGTAATTTCAAACTTTACACAGATATCCCTTAATCCTTTAACCCCTTCATCTAAATTCCACAAATTCCACATTTTATAACATTTGTTCCATCTTTATCCCTGCCTCCTCTATATAGTTATATGTTTATTATCATTCATCCTTTTTTGAACTATTTGAGATGCAGTTGAAGTTGTAATGTATTATTTCTCTTAAATAGCCCAAAATGTATTTCAGTAAGACAAGGGCATAACCACCCTCGAAGTATTCAAACCAGGAAATCAACATTAATATAAAATTGCTGCTTCTTATCACAGATTCCATTTAAATTTCACCAGTAGTGCCCTCAGAGTCTTTTCCCATTTGCTTAAAGTCCAATTTTGGGTCCTGGATTGCATTTAACTGTCATGCCCCTTCAATTTTCTTCATGGTTAATCTTTTCCTAACTAACCTAGTTTTGACATTTGAATATAGGCTTTTTGTTCTTCAAAATGACCTTTATTCTGTCTCTTGTTTCCTCATGATTGAATGCATACCAAGCCTTTTGAGAATAATACTATATAAATGATGTTATGTTCAAGTTATTGTCTGCCAGGTTTTTCTTACTGTAAAGATACATTTTTATGGTAATTGATATTTTTGTGAAGTGAAATTCTGATACTGCTTCCGTAACTTGTTCCTTATCTAACCTCTGTTTACTAACCTTAACATCCATTGAAGACTTTTACTTGAATCATCAACTACTAGTAGTGCTACTAAATTATTTTCTGTTATTCCTTTTCCATTAATTATTGTCAGTCTCTTAAGAAACAGTATTCCTCCTACCCCATTTGTATATTCATTATTTATTTATTGGTGTAGATGCTTATACACTACTGGGTTCATATTTTATTCCATGGGTTTGTAGTCTTTATTATTTATTCTTTTTTAATATTTTATTTTTTAGTTGTAGATGGACACAATATCTTTATTTTATTTTTATGTGGGGCTGAGGATCAAACCTAGGGCCTTGCACGTGCTAGGCGTGCACTCTACCGCTGAGCAACAACCCCAGCCCTATTATTTATTCTAATACTCAGATTGATGTCCAGTTGGTATTCTTTGAACTGGTTTCTGGTTTTCTTTCATGTTTCTGTTAAGAATTCTTGGACTACTATCTTCTTCTCGCTCCCTCTCTCCCTCCCCTTTTCTTAAGCATATAATGTTCTAGGCTACCTCCCCTTCCTAAACCCTTCCCAAATTCCTTCTCTCTGAAGGAACCCAGTTCTCTTTAATGAAAAATTGCATTTAAAATCCCATATCTGGTTACTTGGTATTTCCTATTACTAGAATATCCTTATTTTAGGCTTCCTCAGTGGATAGACACAGGAAATACACAAGCACAAACACACATGCGTTCGCATGCGCACACACACACAACCCACATGCTACAGGGATATCTGAATCTATTTCTGTTTATATTTAGGAACTATGAATTTACATCAATCCCTCTAATTCCAGTACAACACAGACTTTTCCCTTTCTGTTTTTTCTTTTATATTTTTTTAAGTTGTTAATGGACCTTTATTCATTTATTTATATGCGGTGCTGAGAATCGAACCCAGTGCCTCACACATGCTAGGCAAGTGCTCCACCACTGAGCCACACCTCAGCCCTCCCCTTTTTTGTTTTTTATAAACCCCTTCTCAAATGGCAAGACAACAAACTCCCATTATCCTCAGTACATTTATTTATTTGCTTGGGTCCTTTTTTGACCTTACTAGCTGCCTCCAAAGACCAATTGCTTTGAGAAGTTTTCAACAAACATGAAACTTCTATTTGTTGTACTGGGGATTGCTTGAGTAATTTGATGGGGGTGGGTGGGTAATAGCTTTTTATTGAGATAGATTTTACACATAATCAATTAACCCACATATAATGTACAAATCAATGATGTGCACCCAGCACCACAGTTTTAGAAGACTTTTTTTTTCTTTTACCTGCTGAAAGAAACACTCTACTTAGCAGCCATCTTCCATCCCTTTTCCAAGGCTAGGTAACCACTCATCTACTTTTAATCTCTGCAGAAAAATTTGCCTATTTTAGACAGGAAATTCAATTTTATGATCACTGAATTTTCTTCCAAATCAGCAATTTTATAAGGTTTTTACTTCAATCATTTGTAACTTTGCTTTCATCATCTCATATGAGAATATGTTCTTATTTCTACTTCATAGGGAAATATATATTACATACAACAGAAGTGGTTCATGGACTTGTAGTGTTCCAGTTACATATTGCTTCATAACAAAACACTCCCAAAACTTAGTGTTTTATTCCAACTATTGGTTTCTTCTATGTGGTTCTGTGAATTTTCTTGGTTTAGCTAGACAATTAGTTAGGTGCTGTTGGACTGAGGCTTAGACCCTGGGAAACAAATGCAGAATCCTAGCAGGTGAAGAAGATGCAAGGCACAATTGGGATATAAGTATGCTTTATTTGGGGGCGGCAGCAACCTCCAGCCCCAGCCTTCAGCCTCCTGAGTCCTTCCATCAGCCTTTTTAAAAATATAAAGGCTCTTTGTGTTACCAGTACTGGTGAACTCATAATTGGTCAAAGGGAGAGGCCAAAAGTGCCTTTTAAAATCTGTGTTCTCTCTGTGGGACCTGATCAGCTAACATGTACCTTGGTGGGGGGCATTCATTAATGACCCATGGTGTCACAAGGAGATCACATTCCAAACTTTTCCACATGGGTCCAGGAGCTAGAGGATAAAGGCTGCTGAAACCTCTTAACGCATGTTTACTATCCCAACAGCACCTCATATCATTTTCCACCTGTGATGATCCTGAATCTGGTTCCTAGAGTCTGAGTCTTAGCCCAATAGTGCTTTCACAATTTTATAGTTAGATGTAAGCTGCTGAACTGGAGTCATCTGAAAGTTCACTTGGGCTGAATCTCCAAGATGACTTCCTCACTTCTGTATTTGGTATCCAGATAGAATGGCTGGAATGGTGAAGCCTGCCATCTCTTTTCTTTAACATGGCCATCTTAGACTTTCTTACAGCATGGTAACCTTTGGTAGTCAATCTTCATATAATGTTATTCTTCCCTCAATGTGAGATCCCTAGGGGGAACCACTATGTTGTATAAGGCCTTAGCTTTTTAAAGTCCTAGAAAATCATTTATTTTGCATTCTATTATTCATACAAGTCTTAAATAAAATAGAGGTTCAAGAAAGAAATGAGTCTTTGCTTGTTGATAAAGAATAGTTGGGGAATGGGGTTGTGGCTCAGTGGAAGAATGGTTGCATAGCATGTGTGAGGCACTGGGTTCAATTCTCAGCACCACACATAAATAAATAAATAAAAAAAGGGTCCATCAATAACTTTATGCATGGGAAGGGAAAGAATTGATAATAACTATCTTTAGTGCTGTTTATCATACGTAAAATTGAGAACCCCAGAGTTCTTTGACACTCTGGTAAATTGAGGACATTTGTACTGTTTTAGAATTTTAAAGAGAAAGTTGCAGATAAGTCATAGATGACATAATTAGCATATTATGAATTCATTATCATGCCCTGCATTTTTATCCACCAATAGCTTATTCTTGTGTCCATAAGCGATAGAAAACTTGTTTGGTTGGGTTTTGTTTGTTTGTTTTAACCTTTAATTAATTCATTAATTGATTGATTGATTGATTGATTTTTCTTTATGTGGTGCTGAGGATTGAACCCAGTGCCTCACACATGCCAGACAATCACTCTACTGCTGAGCCACAATCCAGCCCTGGTTTTTGTTATTTTTAAATGTTACACTTTCAAGATGTGTTCATGGAAGCACTGTTTTTCCTTAGTTTTTATTTCTTTGTAATGAAAGCAAAATGTTATGAAATGTATTATTAGGGCAGTATTTAAAATATTTACACAGAAGTTGGCAAAATGACATACTTTATCAACATGGAATTAAGAACCATTGCTCATTATGCTATCTTTTGCATTTTTCAGATGACTCAAGACTGAAAAGAACTAAAGTGTCACCAGAGAAGAAAACACATCATAAATTAAGTAAAATAATTTTATCTTGTAATACTTCCATTAAAGAAAACTAGAATTAAGTTTGTTTCTAAATATAGCTTAATTTTTTGTAAGCAGGGGAAGTAATAATACTATTTGGATTTCTTTGTAGATAAATTAAAATCACACATTTAGTTCTCATGAATTTTATAATAAGTCGTCATAGGCCACTGAGTCAGTCTGTTAACCATTTATAAGGTTTTATAGTCTTCTCATTCTGCCTGTAGTAGGTAGCGATTTTTCATTTTGTGTAATCAAAATTAAAAATTCTCTGAAAATGTAATTGCTAAGTAGATAATATCCATCCCCAACAGCTTCTTCCACTTTCATACAGTTAATTCTTAAGTGGCTCGAATGGTAAATAGACAAAGTTGAGAACTGTGAGCCCATGAAGAGATTCATGTGACGATTCAAAATCCACGGTTCCCCAGAAGATACTTACCAGTCAAGATTCATGGAACAGCTCATGTTTGTGTGATGGAGTGGCTTTCTATGCCATATGTAAAGTAGTATGTCGATAAAATAATGTGATCACAGAGTGGCACCCCGCTACTTTTGACATAGTTGTTGATTAGAACAAAGTCATGGTTCTCTAAAGTACAGGTCTCTACCATACTTTAAAGAGGAGATTATAGAAGGGTGTGTGTGACCCATTGCCCATTAGCTTAGGATATATCTACCACATGATATGACATAATATGTCAGGGAATTTTTAAGTGCTTAACTAAGGATTTTTAGAGATATACCTTGTAATCCTGGTTATTTAACAAAACTTGGCATGATAAAGAGGAAATGATATGGTGGGGAGGAAAGGTGCAAAAAAGGGGTAGTAAAAGTAGTATAAAATGTGTCATTTTTACCAGTGATATCTTGCTTGATAATAGGGTTATATGTTTTATTTTTATTTTTTGGCAGTGCTGAGGACTGAACTCAGCTTGCTGCCAGGCAAGTGCTTTACCACTGAACTATAACTCTAGTTCCAGGGCTATCAGTTTGATATAATCATAGAGTATCAGGAATGGGAAGGTAACCAATATTAAAGTAAAAAAGCACAGCAAATCCTTGAAGTTACCAAGAAAAGAATGGAGAAAATAAATGGTCATTTAATCAAACTAATGAAAATGAAGACAAAGACGACTCACTGATGTAAAGTAACTCATATTAATATAAATAAGATGGCAGGTCATGGTGGTGCATACCTGTAATCCCAGTGATTTGGGAGCCTGAGGCAGGAGGATTGCAAGTTTGAGGTGGGCCTCAGCAACTTAGTAAGAGACCCTAAGCAACTTTGTGAGATCCTGTTTCAAAAAACAAATAAAATATAAGAGGGCTAGGAGGGCTAGGGATGTAGCTCAGTGGTTAAGCTCCCCTGCATCGAATTCCTGGTATTAATCAATAAATCAGTAAATAAATAGAGATGAAGGGAATTAAAGGAAGCAGGTTGTTAAACTGAACAAATGTGAATGGATTAACTTTCTCAAGTATTGGGTTTGGTTAAATAATACAAACCTATCTGTTTTTAAAAAATACTTAGGTTTTAAAATAAAAAGTTAAAAATAATTAGGAAGATTACTGTGAACAAAAAGAAAATAGTCTAGTGTTAATATTAGGCAAAGTAGGAGTTAAGGTTAAAACTGATAAATGTGATAAGGAAGAACATATAATGATAAAGTGAGCACTTTAAGAGGACAGAGAAAGTATAAATTTGTGTACCAACAATTTATCAATTAATATTCATAAACAAAAATGACTAGATAAAGCAAGAAAATTTTAATTTAAACAATATAATTAGGAGGGAGATTTTAATTCACTGCTTTCAGAATTGAATTAAGCAAAAAAAATAGATAAAACAAAAATAGGTAAGAACATAGGAATTTGATAATATAGCCAACAAACTATTTATATATGGAACTTAACTTTTTTCAGATAACACTGTCAACCCTGGGTATTAAAGTTTTATGTCTTTACCAATCTAAAGGCCTAATTTTTTACTCTCTTTAATCATTATCCCAAATGTATCTTAAAAGTTTTTTCTTGTCTTTTATCTAGAACCATTCATCTTTTAAAAGGTAATATTAATCTTTCCACTGCTTAATATAATCCAACTAAACATTTATATGTGTGTTGTTTTTTTTTTTTTTACATTTTTATAGTTTTGCCCTCCAACACACCAAATGTCCGCAGGACCAAGAGAATACGTTTTAAACCTTTGGAATACTGGCGAGGAGAGCGAATAGATTATCAAGAAACATCATCAGGTAAAACCTAATTTACATTGTAGTGTCTGATAATAAAAACAATAAGAAGATTAAATATAACTTACTTATGATTAGTATGTGCTAGACACTGTCCTGCAATTTAGGTACATTACTTTATTTAATCATCATTTCTCCCCCAATGTGATAAGAAAAGGATTCAAATCCTTATTGGTCTGATTACTATAGAGATGCTGATTTTTTTTTTTCTTTTTGGTAGGTGTATTTTTGTGTATGGTTTTGTAGAGTATTGTTATAGTTTTATCTGACAAGGATTTTAATTGTATAAAAATCTGCATTGTTAGAACATGAGAAAATTATTATTCTTACAAGCCATTTTCTTATCATAGTTTTCTACAAAATGATAGAGGTTGAGTTAAGAAGTATAGTGTTATCTTTAAGTTATTTCCTTCCTTTGATGGATATAGCTAAGTCAAAGGGCACTCATATGTGGCTTACTACTAATAGTTTATCACCAGCTTCTGCTTTTTTTGTTTTGTTTTAAACCCTCTACTGATAACTGCTGATTTCAAGGAATTAACAAAGATCAATCCTATTTTATCAATGCTTCTAGATTAGCATGTTAAAGATACAAGTGCAATTGATTATTATTTGAACTACTAAAATTTAGTAACAGTAATATTTTCTTTGTTTCTTTGAAAGGAAATGTACCATATTTAAAGAGTTTTGTTTCGAACTTTTTACTTTTACAGATATAATATTGTATCTTTTTTGTTGTTAAATTTCAGGAGAATTTGTGATTGGTGGAATATTGTCCCCAGTCACAGTAACATCTAAAAGAAAGGCAAAAGGAAACGTGGAAAGAGTCGAAAAAGTAACTAATAGGAAAAGGATGTGTCTTCATAATGATGAAAGAAGTATGAACTTATTTCTGAAAGTAACTTTTAGATTTTGTTTGTTTGTTGTTTGTTTATTGGGCACTGGGGATTGAACTCAAGGGCACTTGACTACTAAGCCACATCCCCAGCCCTACTTTGTATTTTATTTAGAGACAGAGTCTCACTGAGTTGCTTAGCACTTTGCTTTTGCTGAGGCTGGATTGGAATTTGTAATCCTTCTGCCTCAGCCTCCCGAGCTGCTGGGATTACAGGCATGTGCAACTGTGCCAGCTTAGATTGTATTTTCAATAACAGTACTTTGAGAAGAACTCACTCCAAAAATTGTTATTTACCTCTAAAACCTTCAGATATAATACTATAGGTAAAATTCACTTTTTAATGTCCACTTTTTCCCAAATTTTGAAAGCATTGAGCTGGGTGCCCTAGTACATGCATATAATCCCAGTGACTCAGGAGCTTGAAGTAGGAGGATCACAAGTTCAAGGCCCACCTCAATAACTTAGTGAAACCTTGTCTCAAAATGAAAAAGAAAAAAAAAAAAAAATGCAGCTTGGTGGTAAAGCACCCCTGGGTTCAATTTCCAGTACCAGAAAAAAAAAAAAAAAAAAAAAAAAACATGAGTAAATTTACTTTTCATGTGTAAATTCCCCAGTCTAATGTCTAATGAATCTTAAAAGTTATCCATACTGAAACTATGCTTACAACAGACATGTTAAATGAATTTTTTCTGAAGTATATTGCGTGTCTCAGGAAATATGCAGAACATTGTTTGGCTTTTTTGATGATGTAAGAATTTAAGAGTTGACATGTTATAATGTCCCTTATAGGGAATCGGAAGTTTAGGGTGTTTGCTTCTATTTTAAATATTGTGGGTTTTTTAATTATTATTTTTATTTATTATAGTAGTCATTTATAAGTAGGAAGAGTCTGTTATGTCTCTGACAGTTTGCAACTTGTCTGTTGCTATATTTTGTACTGTATTTTTTTATAATTGAGAATTAATTTTAAGTAACTAGTTTATATTTCATTGGTATTTCTTTTGCAGAGAATAAATTAATACTAAATGTTGATATATCTCTAAGAGATCCTTTGCAGCCAACACCAGTAAAGGACCCAGAAACAAGAGAGATTGTTCTCATGGGTAAGATCAGAAATGATACAGAAAATATCTAATTTACCAATAAGAAAGAGGAAACTCTTGGCTTGATGATCAATCCACATACTCCCCCGCCGCGCCCCCCCCCCCCCCCCCCCCCCCCGGCTCTTTCAGTACTAAATTTCAGTTCAAATAAGTAGCCTATATGAGGACAACTTTGGGGGGCATTGATGGTAGATAGCCTCCAAGGACATGTATTATCAGGCATTTGTCCTCTGGAGTACAGGTGCTAACACTACCATCGGGAGTGTTGTCTCCTCACATGGGGTCTAGGACATATGGTTGTAGGGTCTTTTCATGGGGAATGGTGAATTTTACCATGTTAGCTGGCAGATCCCAGGATATACTCTTACTGTGGGAGCAAGCAGGAATTATTGGCCTGGCACAGATAGTCTTCTGGTCCTACAAATGCCAGTAATGGTACCTGGATTGTGAAACTTTTGTGAGGATCACCATCAAGGGCATCAATCAGCCATACAAATGCTAGCCTTAACTTGAAGGCTGGCACAAGATCCTAGAAGCCTCCTACTCTATTATACAGGTATTAAACACTTAGTTCTGGGAGGCCATAAGAGGTTCCAAGGGAAATGTTATAGTGGGGTGGGGGTTTAGGGAAAATTTAGCTTTTTACCAACCAGGCAATATTTATATGTGAGAAATACTTAAATATCTTCAAAACGTTAGTTGTACCAGTTAGTACTGAAGATTCTTTGTCTTAAGTCAGAAGACCAGTAAGGTCATTATTGTATTCCACTTAAAATTTTGGCTGTGAAATAGATTCCATTTGATATGTTATGTCTTAGCTAAAGTATTTCTACATTGAGATTATTTGACAACAGAGGTTAAAAAAAAGAAAAGTGTTTAGTGTAAAAAACATTGATATTTAAAAAGTGTTTTTTTTTTTTTTTAGTCATGCATAATGTTAGGAGTCATTTTAATACCCTTCTAACAGTCAAGCATCTTATTTTCAATGATTTCTCATACTGTAGTTTATATTTTGCTGTGCTTCTTCTGTAGGAATTTCTCTATTCTCTTTTTTAATTCATTAACTGTGTGTTTGTTTACAAATTTAATCTACTTTTTAAATTCTATAATCCTAGTTGGTCCTCTCTTGACTTTTGTATTCAAGTTTAGTAATCCTATGTTCTGGTTTCCTGAATGTTATTAAATTTCTTTGATTTAAAAAACATTGCTATTCTCTAGTAGGTTAGAAAAGTTGTGAGTGTTGTTAACAGTTCACTTTCTTTGGTAAATCTGCACATTTTCTGCATCTGGGGGAACACTAATGTTCCCAGAGCAATAATAATGTCAGAAACTGATGATTAAGGAGTATATTAATTACAGGTCCAGAAAGGAAGTTTTTAAATAAAAGGGAGCTTTTTGAAATTGAGATAGTAATTTGTGAGCAACAGTTAAAACTCTGACTTCTAGTAGCCTTTTCTTGATAAATAAAAATCTCATTATTTAAACATCAGTCAAGTAGAAAATTAGCAGCAGCAGAAAATAATTTATTGTTATGATGATCATAAATTTGTATTTTGGTCCATGTGAAACTTTTTAAAGATACTGAGTTTTTTCTTGTTTCTCATTTAATTTTATTTTCCATCTTGGTTGTAACAAAGCACTCACTTTGTGTCAGACATTGTTTTAAATTGTTTGCATACATTAACTCTTTGATGTTCACAGCAACTCTTTAATACAGATTAACTATCATTATTCATTTTTACAGAAAAGGAAATTGAGGTACAGAGAGAGAGCTTAATGTAGGAAATGCAAGATTTGATTTCTGGCATTCCAGCTACAAAATCAATGATCTTAATTATTTTTGTCTTTCTAAGGCAGGTTTTATATCTAGAAGTACACATAATATACATGTGTACATGTTTTTGTCATTGAGCATTATCATTACTATTATTTTATATTTATATTACTATTTCCTCTTAGATCTTATAAAGCCACAAGATACATATCAGTTTTTTGTGGAACATGGTGGATTGAAAGTATATAAAACTTTGGATACACCTTTATTTTCTACTGGGAAATTGATATTAGGACCCTATGAAGAAAAGGGAAAACAGCATGTTGGCCAAGATATATTAGTAAGTATATTTCTTCATTTATTTATGCTTTGTTATAGATGCTACTTCACTTTATTGGATTGGATGGGGCATTAAAATGCTGTTTCCTTACTAATGAAATTCTATCACTATAATGCATAAATTTTTTTAAATATTTATTTTTTAGTTTTAGGTGGACACAATGTCTTTATTTGATTTTTATGTGGTGCTGAGGATCGAACCCATTGCCTCACTCATGCTAGGTGAGCACTGTACCACTGAGCCACAACCCCAGCCCAGATGTTTTATTTTTTGTTTAAAATCTGTTCAGAATCAACCAGCCAACTTAACAGCACCTTTTCTGTATATAGCACTATAACCTTGATGTTCCTAGTTCTAAGGAATGGTCTTTATTTAAAATCTAGTTTTCTTAAAATCAAGTTTTCAAACAAATCATTAGAATTTTACAGCTGAGGGCTGGGGTTATAGCTCAGTGGTAGAGCACTTGCCTCTCATGCATGAGGCACTGGGTTTGATCCTCAGCACCACATAAAAATAAAGATATAGGGTTCATCTACAACTAAAAAAATATTTTTAAAAAAGAATTTTATATCTGAGGGGATTTTGGAGATCAAGTTTAATTCCAAATTTCTCTGGTCATGCAGTTGAGAAACAGAAGTTAAAAGACTTAAAAAATTTAAGTAGTTAGCAGTAGACTCAAGAGCTAGTTGCTTTAGTAAGTACTAGGTAAAAAACTATTATATATATATAACACTATTACTGATTAAAGTTATAATGAGGTTCAAAGTGAAACAGTCACTCAGTCTTTCTCCCTCTTTAATACCCTCTTGGAGCTATTCTGAAAAATTGGTCTTTTAGTATATGTATGCATATATCTGTATATTTCTGTATTTTTAATTTGAAAATTGTAGAATTTGGAAAGCGTCAAATTTTAAGGATGTTTAACATTATAACATCACTTTAAAAATGATATAACTAAGGAATATCATTTGGTATGGGACATTTGAGGAATCTGTGAAATCATGAGTTATTGAAGTATCACATTCAAAATAATTTTTACTGACAAAGTAAGGTCAAAGGGGAGGAAGTATAACAAGAATTCTGTTTTTGAGTAATTTGAAATTTTCATGAATTCAGTCTTAACATGCTCTTATCTCCATGCATTATTTAAAGAATAAAATAACATTTTTAAAGCATAAATATTCCCTGTGAAATGATGAAAGAATATTAATGAAGACAATATTATGGTATCATCACTATACTGCCTTTTTATGTAAAAAGGAAACTTGAATAAAAAACATTTGAAAGTATTTAACCTGCTTAATACTTAGAGTACTCAGGGTGATTCAAATTTAAAAACAAATAACACTTTACAGTTACTCAGTTAGTACAAATTATTGGAAAAATATTCATACCCTGTGACTTATGGATGTCATTTCTAGAAATTTTTCCTAGGGTAATAATTTTAAAGTTGGGAGGAGAAGAAGCTGATCATATGTATTTATTGTAACATTGACTATAATTGCAAAAGTTGGAAATTAGTAAAATGTGCTGCAGGAGGAAAATGGTTATATTTTTATTTTGACTTAATAGGATGAGCTTTTATATGATATAATAAATATTATAGCACTTCCAGGCACTGCACTGAGCATTTAAAAATTATTTTTAGCATATTATTTTCACGACTAGTCATAAAATTACCTTTGCAGTAATGTTTATGGTACAATATAGAAAATACTTTATCTTTTTTCCTGTCTACAATTTCAAAATGTAAATGACAAGTTAAAAAGAATGTAGAAAAGTAACCTTACTGTGTGATTATACTTGATAATTATTTCTTTTAACTATTCTCTAATTTTCTTATAAAAATGAGAGTTAAGGTGTTTTTCTTAGTAATAATAATATGAAGAGTATTTTTACATTTTTAAAACATGAAACACATGCTTTAAAAAGCAATAAAGGGACAAGGTAGAGAACCAGTGTAGGCTGTAACTTTCTTTAAAATGTTGGTGGGTCTGTGTTCTTTTGTGGAGACTGACTCTGAGGATGAATCAGGTTACAAATTTTTCTAGTTTTATACATATTGTTGACAGAATTCAGTTCATTGTGTTTATAGGACTGAGATTTTCATTTGGTCTCTGGCTGTTGGCCAGGATCTTATTCTCAACTTATAGAAATAATCCATGCTCCTTGGCCAATGGTTTCCTTTTATAGCAATACAAAGTCTTTTTGTGCTTCAAATTTCTCTGCCTTCTCTTTCTGCCTTGTTTTTCCTCTGCTTCCTGGAGAAAGTTTTTTATTTTTTAAAGTCTCATATAATTAGGAAGAAAAGTTTATTTTGGATCATGGTTTCAGTGACTCAGTCCGTGGTTGAGAGCATTTAGCCCCTAGGCCTGGTGTGAGGCAGAAGGGAGACAGAAAATCATGGTGGAAGAGTGTGCTGGAGGAGAACTACTCAGTTCATGCCAGCTACTAAGGAAAGAGGGAGGATGAGGGGTGGGGAAGGGAAGGGAGAGGGAGGGACAGGCAGAGACAAAAGTTTAAACCCTCAGTGATTTACTTTCTTTAGCCACACCCTAACCCTACCTGCTTATAGTTTCCACCCATTTAATCCATTCAAATGAATTAATGTATTGATCAGAGTTATGACTGTTGTAATCCAATAATTTCATCTCTGAACATTCTTGCATTTTCTCACATAGGAGTTTTTGGGAGTTACCCTATATCCAAACCATAACCTTACTAAGGATTATTAATCTGCCATCTCAAGATCCTGTTTGCTAACATATTTATAGGTTCTACATATTAGAGCATCATCATCTGTGGGGAGTTGTTATTCTGACTACTGCATTTCCTTTGATGGTTTTTGAAGTTCAATTTGAAATGAGATTTTACTTTTTGATTTTACAGATCTTTTATGTTCACTTTGGTGACCTTTTGTGTACTTTATATGAATCACCTTATTTAATAACTACTGGGGATTCTTTCTATGTTCCTTCAGGTAAGAATAACTAAAGACATTTTATTTCACATAGTTATAGTCTCCATATAGTTGTTCACATGCAGCATGAAAATGGAAGCCTTAGTTATCAACAAAGTGCAACACAATTGATTACAAAGCAGTTTGGTACATATTTTTCTTTCATCATTAGGTAAGTATATTAGTATATTGATACATGAAAATTGAATAAGTTTATGTTAGAATATAAAAATACTAATTAGAACATATGTTGCATTCTGTTAGTAAAGGGTAATTATTTCCTCCCTGGTATCTCTGAGATATTGTAGCTGAACAGTTTTTAGTGGATTATTTTAAACATATAAAATAATGTTCTATTGAAATACACAAATTTTTGGAAACAGATACTTTAATTCATTCATTTGTTCATTCATCCATTTGACAAATATAAGTTAAGAGTTTACTATGACCAAGCATTGCTTTAAGAGTTTGGGATAAATATAGTGAACAAAACAGGAAAAAATTTAAACTTAACAAAGCTTACATTATGTAGGGAGACAATAATAATAACTGTGTTTATGTAGTCTGTAGTATGTGCTAATACTGTTGTAAATATGAATTTGGTCAATATGTATCAATTTCTGATAAATAGAAAATCACAGAAATAATACTTAATACTAATATACCTACTGTATGTGATGCTGACCATGGATATTTCACTTTTGTTATTTATTACATTATTTATTATTATTAAGACCAGTCTTTGTCTTTTTTAAATGTTGAGATTTTATTTTACTTAACACTGTATACGTATTTAGGGAAATCCACAGCAATTTCAAAGATTGATTTCAAAAAGAGATTTCCTTTCCCTGTGCCCTTGTCTAACTTAACTCTGCATTTGTTATGAAATAATGTAAATTTTGTATTTTTCAAGCCTTATCTGGATCAATAGATGGTGGTTAGCTCTTGGATCTTTCAGTTTAAGTGAATTCTTTTTATCTTATGTTTTATGTACTGTAACTTTCAGGTGATGACTAAATACTTAATTCAAAAGTAAATGATTCCTGTGAAAATAATTTTATTTTCTTATTATTTTACTTTTAGGTAATTATTACAACATCAAAAATCTCCTGAATGATGAAAGTATTCTTCTTTTTACTCAAATTAAGAGATGAAGGATGAAGCAAGTTTAAATATGTGTGGGTATTTATGTATATGTGTATAAAATATACATGTACACACATGTATAAAGCAGCTTGTATAGTTGACATTTATTTTTGTAATTACTTGTGTTATTTTAAAATACAAATTTTATTCAGCTTTGTGTAAATGTGTATTAGATAAACATTTCATACTCGGACGAGTATCTTCGAATTTTTTGTGAACACACATCATCTGTAGTGATATTATTTTAACAACATGAAAAGCATACCAAAACCACTACTCCTTTAATGAATATAGGACATATATTTTTACCAGAAGAGAGCTAATTAATGTCAGTTGATTTAAAATTAGTTTTGCCAAATTCTCATTTTTAATTATTGAGCATTAAAGAACTGTGGTAAATGTTTGTTTCTAGGGCTTCTGTAACAAATTATTACAAACTGAGTGACTTAAACTAATAGAAATTTGTTATCTTAGTTATGGAGGCTTGAAGTCTGAAATTAAGGTGTTGTGAGGGCCATGATGTCTCAGAAACCTGGAGAAATAATGATTCCTTCCCTCTTTCTGATTTCTCTTGAAATGCTGGCAATCTTTGGTATTCCTTGGCTTGCACCTACTACTACTACAATCCCTGCCTCCATTGTCAAATGATATTCTTGCTTGGCATGCAGATGTCCTCACATGACATTTGTTTAATTATAACAATTCGAACTTTTCTTCCATCTTGTTTCCGTTTGTATTTTCTGCTGGAAGTGGTACCCTGCGCCATTGCTTTCTGCATGTGGCCTCCTTAGCTCCTTTTAATATTAAAAGGAAATGCTTCAGGAAACAACTCTGCTAACAAAGTTGAATTTTGATTTTTTGGGGGGCGGGGCTATAAATATATATTATTAGATTGTCAGTTCTAAAGAAGTTTATTTCATGTGAATTATTTTTAGGCTGACCCTCTTCATGCCTCTTTAATAGTTAAATATACATACACATTGAAAACAGGTTTGGTATCTGGGGTCTGAGAAAGAATGAAGTTATGATAGGCTTTGTTAAACCACATTTTTTGTGTGTGTTTTTTTTTTTTTTTTAATTTAATTAAAAAAAAAATAAGAGTTGGGTGCAATGGTGTACACCTGAAACCCTAGAGGCTTGGGAAGCTAAGACAGGATGATCATGAGTTCAAAACCAGCTTCAGCACAAGCGAGATGCTCAGCAACTCAGTGAGACACCCTGTCTGTAAATAGAATACAAAATAGGGCTGGGGATGTGTCTCAGTGGTTGAGTACCCAAGTTCAATCCCCACCCCCCAAAAAAAGGAATTATTCCTCTTTACATGACAAATAATACCATAGAGATAAGTTGATCTCACAATACATACTGGCTACAAATTTATTTGTGTTACAGTTGCCAAATATAATGCTTCTCAAGGGGATTGGGAAGTTAAAAATTATTTAATGGGTATCTGGCACAGAAATAATGACAGTTTAGACCTAAGGAGTTACATCATTTAAATGGTTTTAATCCTGGGAATATGTTAAAACATTCAGTATGATATGTTTTTGCTACTAATTCTCTTTTGTGTTGTAATAATAGGTTGCCATATCTTCCAGCAAGGCATCTGAGAACTTCAAATACTAGCTCATCACTTGTGCTTAAAAAAGAAAAAAAAAACAAAGGGGGAGATGTTGAGAATGGTGAATGGATTATGATCTTTGAACTGCCAAGTGACAGGCAATACCTCCCTTGGGAATTTTTTAATGCATTTGAGAGCCAACCCTTGAAAAATTGGCCTCAACAAAGAGTGTTAGATAAAACTGATTAGGAAAATACATTAATTTAGGCACATAAAGCTCAAATATGAATTTGCCATGAAATCATGAGCTCAAAAATATAGGGTTTTTTAAAGAGCAAAACAAAAGCCATAATTATTCTTGTAAAGAGACATGTTGAACAACTTTATGAGATCAGTTCACTTTGAGTTCAGATTAGAGTAAGTTCAGATATTTAAAATATAGAGTAAAATCTTCAGAAAAGTTTTTTTAAAAAGGGAAAACATATATTTAGAATCTTTCCATTGTTTCCTCTTGGTGCTCAAGCATTCAGGGGAAAGATTCAGGTAAAGATACCTAGTTAAGGCAGAACAGAAGAGGCTCAGATTTAAACATGACATCTTTTTCTCTTTAGGCCGTCAAGTCAGAAATCACTTGAATTTTTAAAAGGGCTACTTTTTTCCTGTGGTCTTAAATCTTACATGATTCTCTGAAAATGTGGTGCTATAGTTTATGTTTTTTCTGAAGACCCTATCCCAATGAGGTTTTAACCGAGGAGGCAAAATTGTCTGTCTATATTTGTGATTTACATTCATTACCCTAATGTTTATCACAATGGCTGCATGGGCAGAGGCCTGGTTTGTTTTTATGACCAGATAACTGCTGATAGTCTCTGGCCAAGCGTCTAGGCTCACTTCCTTTTGGAATTTTAAGTTTTCCAGGAAGGCTGAAAAACTCTTTTAATTTTTTTTAATTGTTGATGGACCTTTATTTTTAATCATTTGTTTATATGAAAAAGAAGCCAGTGCCTCACACATGCAAAGCAAGCACTCTACCACTGAGCCACAACTCCAGCCCTGCAAAACTTCTGTTAAAGCTGTGGCCAGAGTTTCAACTCCCACTCACATTTCAGGAAACAGCTTCTACTGAGCAGGGGAAGGGCTGTAGGAGATGCTACAGGCTGAAGAGTGTTTATTTTTTACAGCCTTTAACAGTGTTTCTAAAGCCAGAAATCAGGTCAGAAGCCAAACATTTCATGTGATTACAAGATGGATCAAGACAATTTCATATCAAAGACCATGGGGATTTTGTCCAGTTCCTTGGTCACATAGCTAGCATGCATGTTCACTGAGTTTCTCCCATGACTTTACACCTACCGCTCCCTCCTCAAGTAACCAAGGAAAAGTTTTAATAACAAATTCTAAAAGCTGTGGCAACTGCCTTCTCTATGGGGCTGTCCTGTAATTTAAACATAGTCTTCAACATAGTAACATAGGGATCCCTTTCTTCTAAACTGTCCTGAATTTTACAGCAAGCTATGTATAAAGACTCGCTTGTCTCCTTCCTACTTTAATGGACATGTATCTTTTTTAGGAGCATCCCACTCACCTTGAAAAGTGAATTCCTTGTGTGTCTGTGTTGGTCCCTGTTCAGGTGCCAAATGTCCATCCTGTGTGAAAGTGTATTCAGGGCAACACAAACTAGTCAGTAAGGGGATTATGAAAAGACACATAAACTAGAGGAAAAGGCAGGGTGGTTTGGTTCAGCCTGCCTCTGGTGGAGGAAGACTGACCACAAGCAAGCTTGGCACATTTATTATATAGGTTTAAACATCAGAAGGATTTATTGTCAGAAAGCCTCTTCAAGATAAAACTGAAGCTGAGGGTAAAAGCAGCCCATTAGGCTTATCAGCTTTTGGCTATAATTCTCTACCTCTGGGCAGCAAGTATTTGAACCCAAGGTTATGAACTAAAAGTTGGCTAGTAAGGAATTTCCCTTTGAACAGGGTGTTACCATACAATTGGCTGGTTTTTTCTTTGCCTTTGCACTAAGACATTCCCAAGGGAGTTGTCTCCTCTGTTTCTGGGAGGTTCAAAGACCCGTATTTCATTGCCTTTCCTGAGTTTCCACATTTTTTGTTAAATTGATTGGTAGGCATTGCATGTTTCTTAATGCTGTGGTAAATTTTATTTTTTCATTTTCCAAGTGCTAATTTCTAATGTATAGAAGTACAACTTATTTTTGTATATATTTTTTGTTTATATTCCATGACCACGTCAAATTCAGATCATTAGTTTTTTGTTTTTAGGATTCCATAGGATTTTCTATGCATATATTATGTGTATACTGTCAACATCTGTGAATAAAGACATTTTGACTTCTTTTAGTCTTTGCATTTTATTTATATATTTTCATCTTGCTTTATTCTAGGACTTTCAGTATACTGTTGAGTGGAAGCAGTCTTCCTGCTTTGTGCTCAAGCATTCAGTTTTTTAATATGAAGTATAATGTTGGCTATAAACTTTTCACATATGTTTTATCATATTAAGAAAGTTCTTCATATTTTTATTTTGATGAGATTTTTTAGAAATTAAGATTCTGTTTATCTTTGTCTACTGAAACAGTCATTTGGTTTTCTTGTTTCTTCTGTTGGTGAAAAAAAAAATTTAAACTCTACTTGCATTTCTGTATAAAAAACCCTTGGTTATGCTATGGTATTTACAAATCATTGGATTCAACTTGTTAATATTATTAAAATTTTAAATTTTATTAAAGATTTTTTGTTTTGTCTGGATCCATGAAGGAATTTTTCTGCTTATTATGACTTGGCCAGGTGTTAGTATGAAGGTCATTCAGATCTTATAAAGTGCAATTCATTTACATCTCAAGTGTTAGAAAGAATTATAAGTACTGCCATACAGACCTGGAATTTTCTTTATGGAAAGATTTTTAATTATGGCGTTAGCTTCTTTTATAAGTATCATTGTTGATGATTTCTATTTCTTCAGTTTTAATAAATTTGGCTTATATCTAAATTTGGAAGAATTTGTCTTTAATTTTTTCCAGTTGATTTTCATAATGTTCATAATCTCCCTCAAAGTCTCAATAGCTTGAGATTGAAAGTCTTCAAGGAAATGTTTAGGTTAATATAAAAAGCTCACTGCAGTATCTGGAGCACACATGTGCAATGTAGTTGTTTAATTTTTCTTCTTTTTTCTTAGTCTTTCTAGCTAATCTAGCATAAACTAGCTAAATCAGTTTTGTTGCACTTTTGAAATAATTAATCTTTTGATTTTGTTGATTTTCTTCCTTTGTGTTTCTATTTCATTGATTTTTGATCTGATAATTTTTTTCCTACCTACCTTAGTCTTGATTTGCTCTTCCATTTGTAGTTTTTTAAGGTGGAGGCTTTTTCTTTGTTTAAGCTGCAAAATTCCTTAGTGCTATTTTGGCCTTATCTCGTGTATTTTACGATGACATGTTTTCATTTTAATTTAGTTCTGGCTATTTCCTAATTTTTCTTGTGATGTTCTCATTGACCAGTGGTTTATTTTTGTTTGTCT